TCCACAACTAGTCCCACCCAACTACTTCCACTATACAGCTATTTAGACCCTGTTCACTTCCTCAATAAATGAGACTTGATCAGAAAGCCTGTCTTGTCTCTGTCTCTCGTGTCTCTTGCCCTGTCTTTTTCATCCCCGTTCCTCCTCCAGGTCATTACCCCACGTCTTGACTCGCGGGCCGAGTCAGGTAGATAAATAGATAGATGATAGATAGATGATAGATAGATAGATAGATAGACAGACAGACAGATCAATACGTCTGATCACATATGCACAAAACCATGTAAAGTGGTATAATCAATAAAGGTCCTTTATATTAAGAGGACCCACATACCAGATTGAAAGAAATTCCTTTCAGTAAAATAAAATTACAGCACAGTAAGTCCCCAACATACGAACACTGCACTGTGAGCCTTCACAGACAGAGCGCACATTCCATCGCAAGCACTCCTAGACGTGGGCGAATCGCGCCCAGGCTCCCACGTCAGGATGCCTGGAAGCAACAGCAGCATGGTGAGGAGGGGACCGCTAGGAAGTGCAAAGCAATGGCCATGGAAACCATAGTGAAAATAATGGAGAGACTGGACCGAGGTGCAGAGTTGGGAGGCGCCGCTCCTCCAGCTGCCCCTCCTCCCTCCTCCCAACAGTGACCCTTCTCCTCAGTTCACTCCTTGCAGTCCCCCATATACTGTTTTCTTTTTACTGTACTGTACCACCATTTTAAGGTGACCAGAAAAGTAAAAGTAGTTTATGTACAGTATTTTGTGTGGTTTTTTAATGCTTTACTCTGTATATTTGTGTCAAAGGTATATATATATAACCTTTTGTTGGTGTTACCAACAGTTCCAACTTACAAACACTCTCCTGGAATGGAACTTCTTCACGATCTGAGGACTAACTGTAATCACTCATAATATTCCCTTGAATACTCCACCACTGAAGTTAAGCTAGAGCTGCAGGAACAATATCAACCATGAGAGGGGAATATTCCACACTGACTGCTTTGAAAGCCTGACTCCTTTTATCATTAACTACTTGACAGTGATACTTAATAATGAGTGAACAGTACATTAACAGGATAGAAAAAAGCAGCTTGATTAATGAATAGGGCCTCCAGGAAACCCTTGCTCTTAGTAACTGCTGGGAAGAGCCATGCCTTACCGCCTCCCACTCAAGATTTGAAGTTTAGTGCAATGTTTTCTCTCCGTTTCCCCTCTATTCATTTGTTTATACAAAATTCATTCATTCTACAAATACAGCATTCAATAGCCCTATAATGTGCTCAGCACTTTTTTAGTCACTGTATATAACTCAAAACAAAGTAGCAGAGGTCCCTAGTCCTATTAAGTTTCCACTCTGGAAGGGGACAAATAGACAATAAGCTAACAGGCTTGACACCTATCATGTCAGGTTCTGCTAAGTGCTAAGGATACCAAAGCGGGATCAGGGTCACCAACGGACAGCAAGGCAGTGCTGTTTTGAGTAGAGTGGCCAGGGAAAGGGCCTGCATGAGCTGCGTCGGAGTCTGAGGAGAGTGCGCTGCAGGGAGAACTGCGAGTTCAAAGCTGCTGAGCCAGGAATATGCAGGGCAGTAGGAAGCATAGCTGTGCAGCTGGCATTTTAAAAAAGGTCGAATTAAAAAGCCGCGTAAGTACAAACTGAAATAATATCAAATCCTGAAGCTTCTTTACACCAAACGGCAATAGAATTTAGCCAGTACTTTTTGTTCCTTGTTAAGAACAAGAGGGGCTGAGGAAATAGCTTAGCAGTCTAAGAGCCAACTTGGCAAGCTCAAGGACCCAAGTTTGATCCCTGGTACTGCATGGCATGCCAGCCCTGGAGCCCCACGCGGTGCTAGCCACCAAAACCAGGTGTGGTGACACAGGCCTGTAACACCATAGCTCGGGAGGCTGAGAAAGGAAGATTACTATTAGTCTGAACTGCATAGTGAGACCTTGTATCAAATAAATTTAAAAAAACAATATGAGTCACATAACAAGCAGAGCTGGATTTTTTTTCTTTCTGTTTTTAGGATCCCAGAATTAATACAAAGCAGAAAGATTGAGGAATCATTGTTGGTCAGCAATCACTCAGATTAATGTAATAGGATGGTATAGAATCTATCTATCTATCTATCTATCTATCTATCTATCTATCTATCTATCTATCTATCTATCATTTACTTGGTGGAACTGGGGATTGAACTCAGGCCCTTGTGCTTGCCAGGAAAGTGCTTATTCCACTGAGCCATTTCCCCAGCCCTCAAAGCTGGATGTTGAGGGCAACATTTTGGCAAGCACTAGCACAGCCTTTCTGGGCCATTTACATAACTGTTACGCGTGGCAGTTTCTTTGAGTTATTGTGAAAATCAAAATGAGACTAATGAAAATAAAGCACTTAGCATTGTACTTAGCATACAGAAAGAACACAATCCGTACACATGAGAATGTAGTTGCTGCTATAGACAGGAGCTACAGTATTAAAAAGATTAGAGGCAAATAGAAATGGGATGTGGGCATACTTTAATTAGTAATGAAGATGAATATAATTTTGCTTTATCATTATTATTATTATTATTATTATTATTATTATTTTGTATTTACTGCAGGGTGGGTCTATAAGGTCTCACTACACAGATCAGACTCGTAGTGATTCTCCTATTTTCAGCTTCCTAAGTGCTGGGATTACAGGTATGCATCACCATGCCCAGTCTCAATAGCCATCTCAGCGCTCCCCAGGGACGGGGCCAACATGGCAGGCTAGGGATCAAACCTCCAATCCCTGAGTCTGCCTAAGCAGGCACTTTAATCTGCTGAGCTATCTGGCCATCCTTGTTGTTGTTGTGAAGATGAATTTTAAAGAAGCCAGTATTCACTGAGAATCTTACTGATAGGTTCCAGCCCAAGTACAAACTACTAAATTGTCATGGCCCTGATTCAACATGTGGGTTTGAATCCCCAAAACCACAACTTATCTTCCCAATGACCACTTCCTCCTTCTTCCCCACCCCAGTCCTGGATACCTTTCCTGTGCACACAGTGGAGACCTCAGTCAGCAACTCATGTGACACTGAACTTGCCCCTCACACTCTGCCCCTACCAGAAGTCCATGCAGTCTCAGCTTTCCATCATCTCAGGTCAGAGGATCCCCTGTGTCCCTGCCTTTGATCCTCTCTGTGTCATCAGAGTTAATAAGGGCTCTCTCACCCCTTTCTTATATTTCTGCTTCTCTGCTGTGCTGCCAATGAAAAGACCTAACACATATTAAGAAGGAAATTACAAAAATCATACAAACATGTATCAACAATTAAAAGTGGCACATAGAGCCTGGTTCCACAAGAGTCAGTGAGAAGTGAGGAACCTTCTTAAATATTTAAAGTACTGAGGATGGGGAATGCAGTGTGCTGCGATGAGGCCCAGAGGCTAAGCTGGCATTTGCGTTCTCCATGAGGAGATGCGGTGGGTGTATTTAAGGCATCATTCGTGAATATTCTAGAAGACTTGTACGTATGTATATGATAAGAAGTACAGTTCTGATGAAAAAGTTAAGTGGTAGAAGGGGTCAGGAGGTGGATTTTTCATGAAGTTATTATTTTTTTTGTAGTATTGTGGGTTGAACCCAGAAGCTCACAATGTCATATACATAGTCTAACACTGAATTACCTAGCCTTCTCCAACCAGGCGGTGGTTTTTTTTTTTTTTTTTTTTTTTTTTTTTTTTTAACGTATTTGGTGGTTGTTGCAGTGTTTCACTATGGAGCTCTGTTTCAGGACTCTGGCCGGCTCAGCTCACCCTGTGGGTGGGGCTGGTGCAGCATGTGGTGCTGGGGATGGAACTGTAGTCTCTGCACGTGCCTGAGCTTGCAGGGGCATGAGTCCACTGAGCTATCTTGCTAGCCCTTAGAATTTGTGTTTTGAAAAGCAAACTGAGGTGGAATAGGGTAGTGGTGATGGGGACCCTACCACATGGATAACTACATTCTTTGACCTAAGTAAGAAATCTCAGTCGGACTAAGAATCTAGGCTCTTTTCTACACATCGAAATAACATGCAAGACTGCTGTGTTGGGATGACCTTGGATAAATCATACCTTTCTTCTTCGGTTGTGCTAGGCCTCGAGGAATTCTGTTAACAGAAAGGATATACCCATCTTCAGTGGTAACTTCATACTCTTCACAGGGATAACCTTTATGCTGGATGATTTCACTCTATGGAAAAAGCACAATTTCTTTTGAGCTCTATATGATTGTATTCTTAGTAGTCCAAAAGTAAGAGTAGATGCTGTAAGAAATAGATTAGAAAGCCTTTGCTATTCCCCAACTAATTATATTATCTTAAAAAAAAAACAGTGCAGCTATTCTCCCCAGTCCTCACATTTTTTGTAATGGTTCTGGCAACTGAACCTCGGGTCTTGAACATGCTAGGTGAGCACTGGGCCACTGAGCTGTAGCCCAGCCTCTGACTTGTAGTTTTAATATGGAGACAAGGCTGGGACAGTGGTTCTGAAGTGTGGGTGAAAAGCACCAGCCCCATTTGCACACTCTGGAAAGGCACACTAGTGCATTCCGAACAGAGGTACTGATTAGGGCCTGAGGACTGGGCCCAGCAATGTGTTCCACAAGCCCCATGAAGATGTCGGATGGACTGTGACACTGGCTAAGTGCTGGACTGGAGCACTGACTGTGAAACCTGGGTGTGAGTTGGGCTCATGCGGGATGCCCACATGCAGAGGTTCTTGATGCTCTTGAGGTCAGAGATGAGGTGGTCCTAATGCAGCCAGCAGGATTCCCATTCAAGGACAGCTTCCTGGAGTCCTGGGCCTTGTCTTCCGTAAGACACTGTCAGCTCCAAAGTAGACTCAAGGACAGTGATTCTTCACATTTTTTAGGCTAAAACTCCCTCAGTGAATTTAAGGAGAACCGCAAAAAAGGATCTGTGTGTAGGTACATGAAACATATTTTCATATAATTTCATTCCTTGTTGGCTCTATAAGAGCCTCTGCTTAAATACCCCTGTATACAGAGTTGACACCTGTAGAAACCCTTTGAAAAACAGGAAGCTGCAAGCTCCTCAAAGCATCATCACTGTTCTTTTGTGTGTGTGTGTGTGTGTGTGTGTGTGTGTGTATTTAGTTAGTACAGGATCTACAGGGTCTCACTACAGAGATCAAACTTGTAGTAATCCTCCTGTTGTCAGCCTCCAAAGCACTGGGATTACAGGCACTGGGCTTTTTGGCATGCACCATCACACCCAATCTATCATCACTGTCTTCATCTGGAGAAGAAGGGAACTATTCCCATCACAGGATTCTGGGAAAAGGAAGAGAGCAGAAACCCAGGCTCTAAGCACCTGGTGTAGCATACAGTCATTAAGAAGAAAGCTCTCAAGTCTCACGACTACCACTATAATTAAAACCCAATCAGTCAACTCTCATGGAATTTAGCATTCGTTTTTGCATATGTGTGATCTGCGCTTGTGTCCGCTGTATACTCAGCTGTAAATAAATTCCAGTGGACACCAGAATTACTTGCAGGGCTCTGTAAAGCACCAACTGCTGAACTCCAATCTCAAATGTTCTGACATAGTCAGTAGCTCTGGTAGACACGAAGGCTATCTCTAACAAGTTGCCAAGCAAGCTGATTTGTTGACCCAGGGGCTATCCGCCAGGACTCACTGCTGTGGGCTCCTTGGAGGTGATCTGGTGACAAGATAGACATACCAAACTGGAGCACAGAGGGCCCCTCACCAATGTCACTGAGACGTTCTGTGGAATGGGCCCAGCGAGGGCTGGAGGGTGTGAATGAGGGAGGAGTGCAGGAACTCTGAGCAGGAGCACTAAGTAGGCGAGGCTTACAGAGGGAGGGGACGTCGAGCTGAGCCTCAAGGACAGAAGAGTTACCCAGGGCCCGGGCAGGAGGTGCTTAGGAGCCTGGGCATCCCAGAAAGAAAGATCTAGGGCTTCAGTGGACACTGTCTCAGGATGGTCAACAGACAGGATCGGAGGAGAGTTTATGCAGGGCAATAGCAATATATAAATGCATACGCAAAGAATATAGACCCACTATGTTCTAAAGGGTATGATATTGCTTATGAAGCTGCAAGTTTTTATAATCATGCATTGTAAAACTATGAATATTTAACTCTTAAATTCTGTTTCAGGCACTAAGGAGGTGTTTTTTTTTTTTTTTTTTTGAGCTGGGAATCCAATCTATGTGCCTGATTGCATTAGCCCAAGAGGTGCTTTAAACAACTGAGTTATCTGACAAAGCCCCCTTAAATTTTGTTTCAAATTGACACGTTGTAGTTGTATTTAATATTTACTTTCAAACTGGGTGTGGCAGCACACACCTATAATCCCAGCACTCTGAGACTAGCCTGCTCTACACAGTAAGAGCCTGACTCACTCCTTACCACCCCAGAAAGCCAAAAAGTTTAGCTTTCAATTCCACCATCCACCTTTGAAAAATCTAACTTAAGGGGGCTGGGGAGATAGCTCAGTTAAATAAGTGTTTGCCTGACAAACACAAGGTCCTGAGTTCAATTCCTGGTACCACCAAAAAAACAAATCTAACTTAAGGAAAAAGTCAGAAATATGTATTTAAACACATATTATTTGTAATTGTAAAATATTGTATAACCACATTTATTAAATAAATAGTTGCAGACACTCTACCCAGAACCCCTTCAGGGAAGCACTTGTACCATCTAATAGGGGTGGCATCAGCAGAGCACTGGGGAGCCCCGGGTGTGTGGAACCGCGGTCTCCAAGGCCAGGTGCAGTGACTATCTTGTTAGAATATAGCAGTATATAATGGTTACCTGAGCCGAACTCTGTGAACTCTGCAGCACTCTTTTACTGTTGTTGGCTTTTGTTTCATAAAAGAAGAAAATTTATTTGGGGTTGCGGGAAAGGAAAGGAAAGAGAGACGGGGAAAGGAGACATGGAGGACAGCGTGAAGGGCTCTTTTACTGCATGGCTCCCACGGGCTTTGCCGAGGCTGGTCTCAGAACTGGTCACGGCTAGCCTGGTTTCTTTACCCACCCCTGCTTCTTTTCTGGTTCTCTCTTGTGGGTGCTCTCTCTCTGCTCCCTCCTCCCTCTTTCCACTTTTTCTCTCCCAGTCCTTGACAGACAGGCAGGCAGACAGACAGACAGACAGACAGACAGACAGACAGGATGAGACCTTGCTCTATGGCTCAATCTAGTCGTAAGCCTCAGCCACCCCAGTCACCGGGACAATAGGCATGCACCACCTCACCTATCTGTGTCTCTGTAGCTTCTCCTTAATAAATAAAGCAGAAATATTCATAGATTTAAAAGAACAAGAGAGTACATATGAGAAAATTATTAGTGATTCGTTCTAAGTATTGGGTGTCTTATGGTCCTCTGAGTCTTTCTCAGATTTTCTTTTTTTTTTTTTTTTATTTAATGTATTTGATTGTTACAGGGTCTCACTATGCAGCTCGGACTCATAGAGATCCTCCTGTTTTCAGCCTCCCCAGCACTGGGATTACAGGCATGCACCACCACAGCAGGTCTCTGTGGCCGGCTCAGTGCACCTGGGGGCGGGGCCAGAGTAGCACGCAGTACCAGGGATCGAACCCCAGTCCGTGTGTTTGTCTAAACAGGCACTTAGCCTGCTGTGCAATCTCACTGGCCCCCACAGACTTTTCTATAATGGACACACATTACTATTGCAATAATAATAAACTCAGTGTAAGAGTCACCTAACCCTACTCTACCTTCCACCCCAGCACATGGCAAGCCCTGAGCTGCCCCAGCTGTCTCACAGGCTGATCCCTCGAGCACCGCTGTCTCCCCGAATGGAGTTTGTCCCTCAGCGTTCAGGATGAGACGGGGTCTTCAAAGTCCTTTCCCAAGCTTCCCAGATCAGTTCCTCCTGTGCATGCTCTCTTTCATCTTATTACTACCACAATTAGTATCTGAGTATTGGTCTTTCCTGTTGGGTTGTGAGCTCCATTAAGTCCAGGATTTTGATATTGTCATGTCTTTCTGTGGCTTCAGGGCACTGTATCAGGGATCTACTATGTGCTCAATAAACACCTGTGAAAATATACATGAATGAAAATAGCTGCATACTATGGCATAGACTATGTAATCTACATGTATCGGTACAGAACCAAACATTTTCCGACTCTCACTCATAAGCATATGAATTTTCTAGTTCCCTTGCCTGCTCAGTGGCGGAGCCCAATTGAGTGGTTTGTTGTTGTTTTAGTTCATTGAGATAGAGTCTCCCTAAATCTCCCACGTAAGCCTTGAACTTGTGATCCTCCTGCATCAGCATCCAGCCAAGCAGCTGGAATTACAGGCACTGGCCATTCTATCCAGCTTTCAATACCCTTTAGTCTTGAGAAACCTGTCCCGAAACCTCAAAGTGTGTAGGTGTCTAGTTTCTTCATGGGTGGGGCTGGGGCTGTTGTCTGTACAGTTAAAGAGACTCCTTCCACTCGAGAATCTGGGGACTGTGGCCAGGACATTCTCAGGGCCAGAAAGACGATTCAAGGCTCTGTACCAATGTGGTAACTCTTCTGAATTCGCCATCAGTTAGTAATTTGAATGGACAGAGGAAACCTGATATTTGCAAAACTTCAGAATATTTCTATGGCTGGCTATACAAGAAGGCTTCTATAAAAATGCCTTACGCTTGAAGAAATTTGACTGGGTACATAGCTCAGTGCTAGAACACTTTGCCTGCTACACAATAGGTCCTGGCTTCTCTCCATTGTACCATAAACAGACAAACAAAACTTGCACGAATCTAGGATATTTTTCCTCCTCCTGGGAGGCCTTAGACAGGTCCGAGGAGCACGGCCTTCACACACAGCTGTCTTTCTCGTCACACCTGTCCTTCTCACCTGGGAGGGTTTGGTGTGCAGTAATTATAATTATTGGCTTTGCACTTAGGCAAGCTTGAATTTAAATTGTAGCTCCACCGTGTACCAGTGTGAGGCCTTGTTGAACTTGCTTAACTTCTTTAATCCAAGGTATTTGGTTTGAAAAATGTAGACAGTCATATCTTCTGCACAGGGCAGACAAGATGAAGTGAAATAGTATCTGTGCAGATTTTATCATAATATCTGCTAGGAGATAAGTGTTTCTCTCCATGGCCTTTATCAGAAGCCAATTTAAAATTGGAAACAAAATGCTACCACCCATCAAGAAAACCTGGGAAAAACCGAAAGAGATGTGCCACCACCCATATGTTTTACTCACAGGAGGTCTTCAGTGCTCCGTGTCCTCACATTGGGCAGGTTAGAACAGCCCCAGATAACACTAATAGTAGGTACCCGGACAGTGAGCAGGCAGGGTTGGCACTTTCACAATATAGGAGAAAGTAGGGAAGACTGAAATACAGACAACATGGAAAGATCTTACACTGGCCCCAAATCTGCCCATCATTTCTTTACTCCTAGGACGAACCTAAGAGTTCAAGGAACAATTACAGTTTGTCTAAAACTCAAATGATTAATTTAGTCACCCAAATGTACTTAATTTGTTTGAAGAGCCCCAAGGTCTACTGACCCCAGCTCAGCATTCTTTCAGTTCCATGTGCAGCTTCATTACTGTACTCTTCTAGCATGAATCACCACCACAGATCAATGCAATGCACAGTGCGGACACAACAGAGATGCGGGCGTTAACATGCAAAGCACTACATATCCCCATACTGTTCTGAGAACTCCAACTTACAATATTCATGAATGCTTCAGGGTCCACAGCTTTAGTCGGCAAATGTCCTGAATTCACATTTCTTTGAAGCAAATACGCCACGAGGATCAGAAGCCATATCTCAACTCTGTGGGAGACAATCCAGGCCATTGACAAGATTTCTGACATGGTCCAACATCTGCATTTGTTTCCCCCTGACACTATAATAACTACATCTAAAGCCAAAAGAAGAATCTGTAGGTTTAAAACTGGGTTCTATACTTTCTGGCTTCAACTTCTTCCCTCAGGTCTAAAGCCTGTTGAGCAAGCTCAATAGACAGGAATGGAAGAACCGAGCAAGCTCTAAACATTGCCTAAGATGTCTCAGTGCCATCTGACTCCGCCTGCTTCTCCGTCACAGTAACAAAATTATAATCACCAACCCCTCAATTCTCAGTGTGTAAAACTTTCTTTGATGCAACCCGGAGATTGACACATAGGAGACAGCCCCTGAACCCCTGCTCTCCATCACCAGTTATGAGGGCCACGGGCAGCATCTCCCCCATCTCTTCCTAGTTTTCATATTTCTGTAATAAGTAGAAAAAATATAAAGTCTGCAGAAACAGGGTGAGTTTTTGTAGCCACATTCTGTAGTTCAGTGATCAGGGCAGTTGGGTTAAAGAATAAAGGTAGTCAAAATTGCTTTTATTGGAAATTCCCCAAATTTTAAGGATATTTTCTATTTCCCAGATGGTTTTGTGATGGTTTTGATTGTTTAATCCATTTGATCTAGTTCAATTAAATGGATATATAAACATTTTTATTTTGCTTTGTAAGCACTAACTTCTAGAAGATTGACATCTCGTAATTAAATCATCTGAGATATCTAAAATAATGAGTTTCGGCCTATTTAGTTTCATAAAATAAATGTCCCAGTTCAGTTGCGTGTGAGTTAATATGAGCAATTACTTGGCCTATTAATAAGTAAGCAGCCTGGGCAGGAAGATTCATTTGTCATTTTGAGTAAAAGAAAAATGTATGGGAAGTTAATAAAAAATATACTAGTTGAAGAATTTTTTACTTTTACAACATCTGGGTGTAGCTGAACTGTGGCATCCATGCCGCGCTGTACTCCAGGGGAGTGTGTGAATGCAGGCGTAGAAGCTGGAACCAGAAAGGCAAGTGCGGGAGAGGTGTCTGCCCGGATGACTCAGCCCTGTGCACGCTGGGCTGGCCGGGTAGGCATGGAGGAGAGGCCGCCCTGGGACCCTTATCTAGACCAGCCTGGGGCTGGACCTGCCTACCCCTGTTGACTGTGTGCTCAAGAGAGGTGATTGGGCCTAATTAAAAAGCAGAGGGAATGCCTGTCTAGCTTCAGCACCACAGAGCTTAGTGACGTTGTGCAACAGCGAAGTCTGGGAAGAGCTGTGCCTTGCACTGTTAACGTTTTAGGCTTTCAAAATGCTATAGAAGAAGAGATCTCCTTGGGCTTTTATTTTTAGAAATGCACAGATGCCTTAAATGAATTGCTCGATATTGCTGGGCTAGATTTTGGCCAAGTGAGAAGTAAACTTCAGATGTTTAAATTCACTGTTTAATATTATGACCACATGAAATATCATTTCAGTGTGTCTACTACTTAAGGATGAAATGTCATATAGTACAAAAAATCAAGCATATTGCTCTCTGTATATTGTTTCTTAAAGAAGTGTGTGTGTGTGTGTGTGTGTGTGTGTGTGTCTGTGTGTGTGTGTCCTGGAGACTGAATTTAGGACCTTTGCACTGAGCTGCACCACAAATCTTTTTTTTTTTTTTTTTTAATTTTGAGATAGAGTCTTGCACTTTGCCCAGGCTGGGCTTAAGCTTGAGGTCCTCCTGCCTCAGCCTCCCAGTGAGCGGGCTTGCAGGTAGTACCACCACAGCCAGCTTCTTCTGGATTTAGTCTTAGAATAATCCCCAATGATATCATAAATTTGGCAGATACAGTGCACCCATAGTTGCTCAAATATCATCAGTTTCTATGTTGGTTGGATACACTTGTGAGTGCTACGGAGACTTATTAATGGATGAGTTGGTGGCATGAGACAGAGTAGCTCAGAAAAAAAATCTTGATTTCAAAATGAAACTGCAAATTCCCATGCAAATTCCTCTCATTTCTGCTTGAAGATTAGAGGGCTCTCACAACGGAGCTCCTTTGCCCCCAGCATGGAAATTAATTTTACTGAAATAATTTTTTCAGATTTAAAATGACAAACTTCACCAGGTGTGGTGGCTCAAGTCTGAAATCCCAGCAACAGCGAGGCTGAGGCAAGGGGATTGCCAAGAGTTTGAGATCCTGGGTTGCACAGCAAGTTCAAGGGCAGCTGAACTACATAGAAAGACCCTGTCTCAAATAATAATAATAATAATAATAATAATAAAACCACAAACTCAAGGCATGCTACAGAACTAATCCGAGGGTCAAAGTTAACGCTCTTGTAATTGCTGTTGATCAAATAACCAGCGAGTCAAACTCATACCCCACCTCTTCTGCTAACAGGAGCTATCTTGGAGAAGCCTCTGAGGTCCCGAGGCCATGGGTGTGGTTGGTCAGACAGGCCTGCCCGTGCACGGCTCTCCTGAATGTAATGCGTATTGAGCTCCATTAGCTAACACGCGATAGCTTCTCAGATACTGCACTCCAGTGCTAAAACCCGGTCTGTCAAAAGGAGCAGATAATCTTATCTCTGGCTCCCAGCTTTGGCCTGGGAGTTGTGCCCTACGGTTTCCAGTCTTCTTTCTCAAAATCTAGCAACAAAATCTTAAACATCATCCCGTGTAAGCAGTAATTAAGAAGATAGGCTGTGGAGTTAGATGAAAATCTCCATGACTTGTTATGTAGGCGGCTTTGGAATTTTTTCCTCTTTCTGAAACTCCACATCCTTGTGGAATGGGAATAGCGATGATCTCTCCCCCTTGCATAGGGCGGCTGTGAAACTTAAAGGAAACAATCCATCGTGAGAGAGCTGGGCTGGAGGCAGCAGCAAGGGCTGAGCTACTCGTAAACCCTTGACAAGGCAGTAGTCCACTCTACCACGGAGTTTAGCGAGGGACACACCGGAGCACGGAGGGGGATGGCAGCGCCCACCTAGCCAGCCACATCCGCCAAGGCAAGGGGATCAATGTGGTGACAAAGGTCGCAACCCAATCCTGTGCAAGTGAAAGGGAATGAGGCGTAGGAGGGGGAAGGGAAGAAGCAGAGAGGTAGAGGGCAGAAAAGTAGCTGCGATGTGTCGCGCGCATGTGTCGATGATCTACAATGAATGTCATTGTCGTGTACTGCGCATGTCTACTAATTAACTACCAAGAAAAGAAATACAGTGCCCGGTGCAGAACCGGCTCATCACAGCCCAGCAAGCTGGCGTCGCTCCGTTGTGAAAGTCACGCTGCTGGGCAGCTGCTGCCGCGCCAGGCACTCCAGCTGCCGGCCCCAAAGCGGGCATGAGGAAGCAGGGCAGCTCCCGTCACTCCTGCAGCGAGGGAGTGTCTGGCGTGGAAGCCGGCCGCGCACACTCCAGACATTAATTCAAGCGTGGATTCTGGGCTCTGGCCTTTATAGGGCCGGTGAGCTTTAGGCCGCTCAATATCACAGAGCCTTAGACAGGCTTCCATAAGATGCTATGAAAATCAATGCAAACGCTATACTCCGTGCAACCTATGAGCTATCGAAAGAATTGTAATCTCTTTCTCCCCTCCTTTTTCTTTTTAAATGAATATATGGCATGCTCACAAATTTGGAGCCAAATTTTCACAGTTTTTTTTTTTTTTTTCTGAACTAGGATTAATAAAACTAGTTTTTTTGTTTTTTTTTTGAGACAGAGTCTCGCTATGTAGTTGACGCTGGACTTGAACTCGCAGTGATTCTCCTGCCTTAGCCTTGGAGTATTGTAATTACATAAAATCACATTTTGAAGCTAAAAATCATAGACTTAAGAAGCAATTTGCTTCAGGCTTTTCATTTTAATTTCTCTATTACAATTTTTAGGATGATTGTATAACTTAGTAGAGAATTATAGAGTGGATATTTGTGGTGAATTTTCAGACATGATTTGCATAGATTAACATGTTCCCCCTCCTTTTCTTGCTGGCATTAATTCCCACAGCTTGTTGTGGATCCTTCAAGGCATTTTTTGTGTTCACAGATGCACATAATTGCATAACATGGGCAAACATACAACTCCAGTTATAGAAATAGATGATGAAATAGGTGTATACTTACACATTTATATACAGTTCTAACACTTTTTTACATTACCTACAGATTTGATTTACATCTGACCCTGAAGTTTCATTTACAAGAAAAAAAAATAATAAATAAAGTTGATCCTCAAGGTTGTCTCTCTAGAGTTCATTAAAGTTGAACCAATCTCATTCCAGAGGGGTCTCTTGGCCTTGAAATCCTGACCTTTACTCAGTCCATTTCTTAGATCAGCCCTGGGTACTTATTTCCCAGGGCAGTGACTCTCCAAATGTGTTCCCTGGATGAATGGTGTCCACTGAAATGGAAGTGGGGACAGACGAGAATTCAAGGATAACGGCGTGAAGCCTTGTTCCTGTGTTTACCCCTGTGACTTTCAGTGCCAGGCCTCACTGGTAAGCCTCTGACCCACTCTTGGTTGATTTTTGTGTACAGTAAAAAAGCAGGGTCTCATTTCATTCTTTTGCATGTAGATATCAGCTTTACCAGTACCATTTACTGAAGAAGCCATGCTAGCCAGAGAGATAGTTCAGTAGAATAAGTGTTTGCCTGGCAAGCACAAGATCCTGAGTTCAATCCCTGGTACCACCAAAAAAAGCCTGTGCTTTCCTCACTGTGGGTGTTTGCCACCTTTGCCACATTGGCTGACTGTACAGTAGGTAGATTCCAAGAGACTTTATTCTGTCCCACTGGTCTGGGTGAGCTGTTTGAATTTTTCTCCGTGCATAGTCTATCTTGATGTAGGTGCTGGGGAGCCTCTTCCGGCTTTGTTCCTTCCGATCTCAGGACTGCTCAGGCGTGTCAAAGCCTTGCAGCACCTTGTCAATTTAGAGTTATTTTTTCTTTTTGTTGTAGCTTATGTCATTGACATTTCTACAGTGACTACATAGAATTTTCTGCAGGCCACCTTAAGCTGTGTGGACATTTCAACATTAATTTTTACGATCCATGAACATGGAACATTTTTCTATTGTGTGTGCGTGTCTGCAGTTTCTTTTATTGGTGTTTCAT